CAGCTGGTGATACAAGCGATCGAGCGTCTATAGAGCCTCTCGATCGCTTGACTGTGTTAAGCTCCCGGCCGGCCGTGTAATTACAACGGCCGGCCAGGAAGCTGCTCGTCGGGCTCCACCGTCCACTCGTCACAGACGAGTGGATTTTTCGAGCCCTGTATATATACACATATATATATATACATACATACATGCATGCATGCATGCATGCATGCATGCATGCATTTGCATTCTTTTTTAAGTCAGGTTCATCCTAGTATTCTGAATACCAGCCCACCCGTATCTTGGACTTCTGTTTTACAGCACTGCAGTTGTCAGGCACCACCAGCAAACTTGTGCTTCCCACCATGACTTGGGTGGTAATTAGGTGGATGTACAACCCCAGTTCCCAAAAAGTTGGGATGTTGTGTAAAATCTACATGAAAACAGAATGCAATGATTTGCAAATCTCAAACCCATATTTTATTTACAATAGAAACATATCAAATGTTTAATTATTATTGTAATATTTTTTTTATTATTATTATAATACAGGGTTTATATAGCACCAATAGTTTGTGCAGCACTTTACAATATAAGGAACACATTACAATCAAATACAATTCAAGGCAAGATGGTAAGGAGGGCCCTGCCGTGAGGGTTTACAATCAAAAGGGAGGGGCAAGTGATACATGAGGAGGTAGCTGTGTGCGGATGAGTTGTTTGATAACGTGATGATTGAGTGGTTAGTTTGAGGTGGCATGGTCTTCCCTGAAGAGATGAGTCTTAAGAGATCGCCTAAAGGCAGTCAGAGTGGGGGATAGTCTGACAGGTTGAGGTAAAGAGTCCCAGAGGATGGGAGAGACTCTAGAGAAGTCCTGGAGGCGATCATGGGAGGAGTTGACGAGGAGTTGGAAAGCAGGAGGTTTTTGGAAGAGCGTAGGGGACGGTTAGGGTGATATTTTGAGACACGGTTTGAGATATAGCCGGGGGCAGAGTTGTGGATGGCTTCGTAAGTCGTTGTTAATATTTAGAATTTTATCCTTTGGGCTATTGGAAGCCAGTGCAGGGATCGACAGAGGGGGGTTGCGGACACTGAGCAGTTGGTTAGGTGGATGAGTCTAGCAGCAGCATTCATGATAGACTGAAGGGGGCATAGCCTGTGTAGCAATAGGCCAATGAGGAGGGAGTTGCAATAGTCAAGATGAGAGATAACGAGTGAGTCATTTTGCAGTTTCATTGGTGAGGAAGGGGCGTATTTTGAAGATGTTACGAAGATGAAGGCGGCAGGATTTGGATAGTGATTGGATGTGGGATAAGAAAGGTGAGGTCCGAGTCAAGGATCACACGCTGTGTGCCACACCTTGGCATGGGGGAGGGTTGGATAGTTATGTTATCAATCTCAAGAGAAAAGTTGGGGGAAGGTGCACGTGTGGGAGGAAATATCATGAGCTCAGTTTTTGAAATGTTGTTTTAAGAAGTGTTGTGACATCCAGACTGATATGTTAGTTAATAGATTAGTGACACGCAAGGACACTATGGGGGTAAGTTGTGGAGTAGTAAGATATATTTGAGTGTCATCGGCATAGAGATGGTATTGGAAGCCATGTGAGGTTATTAACTGACCAATGGAGGAGGTGTAGATAGAGAAGAGAAGGGGTCCAAGGACAGAGCCTTGGTGGACCCCTACAGAAAGAGGAGGGGGAGGAGTTTGATTTGTAGGTGACACTAAAAAACACTTAGATAGTTAGGAGGAGAACCATGAGAGAGCAAAGTCTTGTAGGCCAAGCGAGTGAAGTTTTTTGAGGAGGAGCAGGTGGTCAACAGTGTTAAAAGCAGCAGAAAGGTCTAATAGCAAGAGTAAGGAGTAGTGGCCATTGTTTTTAGCTGTTAGTAAGTCATTAGTGAGTTTTAGGAGGGCGGTTTCAGTGGAGTGTAGGGGTCGAAAGCCGGACTGTAAGGGATCCAGAAGGTTGTTATCAGCGAGGTAGTGGCTTAGGCGACTGTAGATAAGGTGTTCTAGGAGTTTGGAGGTGAATGAGAGTAAGAAGATTGGTCTGAGATTGTTGAGGTTGGTAGGGTCCAGTGAGGGTTTTTTTGGGTATTGGGGTGACCAGTGCATGTTTTAGAGGGGAGGGAAATATGCCACTAGAGAGTGAGAGATTGAAAATGTGAGTAAGAGAGTGTTGGATAGAGCAAGAGGGTGACCAAAGTAGTGGTGAGGGAACAGGGTCCAGGGGGCAAGTGGTGAGGTGGGTGTCAGAGAGAAGCTTTGTAGCCTTCTCTGTGGTGACAGGGTCAAAAGAGGAAAGTAACAAGTGTGATGGTGGGTCTGGTACATTAATAGGGGAAGTTGACTGGACAGTGGCGATCTGATCCCAAATTGTATCTATTTTGTTTTTTAAATGAATGGCAATGTCCTGGGCAGTTAGTGGGTGGAGGCGGTGGGGGACATAGTAGAGAGTTACAACCAGAAAAAAATTGACGTGGTCTGGACAAGAGTGTGCTAATGAGAGTGACAAAAAAGTCTGTTAGGTATCACGGAGGAAGAAATTATATTTTAGGAGGGCAGCTTTATACAGGGTGAAGTCTTGCAGAAGCCTATTTTTCCGCCACAGTCGTTCAATGTCTTTTTAGATGTGTGGTTTCTTTTGTTTGCCACGGTTCTAGTGGACGTGGTCTAAGTGTACGTGTAGTGAGGGGAGCTAAAGTGTCTTGAGAGGATGAGAGTGAGCTGTTGTAGCCAGGTCAGGGCAGAAAAGGTGTGAGATTTTGTCATAGAGGTAGTCAGTAGCAGGGTAGAGAAGAGCAGGGTCACAATAGAAACATATCAAATGTTTAAACTGAGAAAATTTGCCATTTTAAGGAAAAAATAAGGTCTATTTGAAATTGATGGCAGCCACATGTCTCAAAAAAGTTGGGGCAGGGTCATGTTTACAATGTTTTAGCATCCCCTGGTCTTTTAACAACACTCTGTAAACATTTGGGGGCTGAGAAGACCAGTTGCTGAAGTTTTGGGAGAGGAATGGTGTCCCACTCTTGCCTGATATAGGATTCTAACTGCTCAACAGTCCTGGTCTTTGTCGTATTTTTCATTTCAAGATGCTCCAAATATTTTCAAATGGTGAAAGGTATGGACGATAAAGCAGGTCAGTTAAGCACCTGGACTCTTCTACTATGAAGCCATGCTGTTGCCATAGATGTTTATCATTGTCCTGCTGCAGCATGCAAGGTCTTCTCTAAAATAGACATTCTCTAGATGGGAGCATATGCTGCTCTAA